AAAGAGACTTTATAAACTATCAGAGACAGTAAAGAATTAAGCTTCAGAAAAGGTAGAGAATAAGGAGATGCTTTATAAGCTGAAATATTTTTCTGTTAAAGCTATGGAGATGGACAATAAGGTCTTGAAAAAACTCCTTTAATTCATGACAGAGTATATAGGGAGGAATAGAGTGTTCAAAGTGTGGATTTTGAGTAAAAAGTAGAGTAATTGTGATGCAGTGAAGTGCTGGAACAGAGTGAAGCGAAAATTTGAAGCCTTGAGGGGCAATGAGAAAACTGTTTTCCAGTGGAGCTCACAGAGACAGATGAAGAGAACTTTTGCCTTCGAATAACTCATCTTTAACATCCCTAGACTCATTGACCCATAACACACCTCAGAGTGATGTGAAATGGGAGGAGTGAACTGATGACAAGATTTCTGGGCAGCTGACATCAGAAAAATGGAAAACTATAACAAACATAGTTTTCTTGTGAGAAACTCCATAGATTAGCAGAAGAAGACTTCTGTTTCTCTACAAAGACTGGTGAAAAGACTCTAGCAGGAATTGAGACTGTTTTAAACACCAAAGTTCCAAAGTTTTTGTCTCTATGTTGTCATGTGAACAAAGGAATGGTGGGTAGTAGGGGATAAAAAGGGTTTTCTGGAAGTTTATTCTGGTGTTCTTTTTCTTGTAGTTTGTTAATAAACTTTCTTTATTCCTTTTTAAGTTTTAAGCCTGTTTTGCTCTTGCTCTAATCCATATCTCACAGCAGGAAATAAGTAATTTTTTAGTTACTGCTTTAAAACCACGACAATCTCTGAGACATTGTTTTGTATTAGTAATTTGACTTGTTTGACAGACCATGCTGGATTAAATAGCATTTGTTGTTGGCCAGTTTTCCTGATTATATAGGGTCCAATTTAAAAAAAATTTTGGGTTTAGCATAACCAGTGGTTGGGTGGTGATAGGTATAGGTGTTGCAATATTAACATCAAGTTCTCCCCAGTATTTTGGTATTGCTTTACCATACACAACTTTAGAGGACAATTGTACAGCCATTAAATTCAGCCAACAATCTTGATTCCAAGTTTCACAAGATATAACCTGGCCATGAGATCCGGTGACTTGACTGTGTACAGGCTCAGTGTGGGATCTGGTACTTGGTCTGCAGCGTGTTGAAACATCATCACCTTGGGCTAACATAAAAGAAGGGAAAACATTAGCTTTGTCATTTAGCACAAAAAGGGGTGTTCACACCATGTTATGTGATTATTACACTAAATGTAGGCCTTGCTACAGCATTTATTTTAAATCTCTAAGTTCATGGTTTATCTGATCTTCATGTCCCTCGGTGTTCTTCTGTAGAAAATAAACAAAACAGAGTCTGCCACATAGGGGCAGGAGATTAAAATGATGGAATTATCCAGTGGGTGTTTATCCAATGCTCTTTCCCCAAGGCATCGGAGGCTACCCATGCATATTCTCCTGTAGTTCTTTTAAAAGCTTCAGTTTGGACTAACCAAGATGTAATCCCCACTCTTACCAGTAGAAAGCGTAGAATTTCTTGCCACTTTTCCTTTTGCCATACTAGAATTCTGTTTACTTCCCAATCCTTTTGTTGCCAAAAAGGAAGCCACTCAGTATATCCCTTGAACATAACATAGGAGTTAGTATAGATACAGACAGGAGAGGTATTCTGTGCCTCATGTTGGAAAATGTTGTAGTTGATAGCCTGAAATGTATCTTTTCCCATCTTTTAGTTGTAATTCCCCCCCAGCTTCTCTTTCTCCTGTTTACCTGGCGTCAAGTTACCATGGTTACTGAAGTTTCTCTCCTCAGCCCCACGGCGAGAGGCCGGATAGAGTAAAGAGAGGACCCCGCTGGCATTTCCAGCTGCTTGAAGTTTCTTTAGCCCAGGAAAGCACGGGGTTGGGAGAAGAGAACTCTTCTTTCCAACACGGAAGTTTGTAACTTTTTCCTGTCCCAGAATGCCTCTAAACTATGGAAGCTGAGAGGGCATGCTTACCTTGCCTTCCCTTTCTTTCCCCCCTGTGTTGCCAGGAAACCAGGCCCCCCCTCTCTCCCCCTCTGCCCCTCTGTATAGAATACTCCCACACCTTTGTGGGCATTTGAAGAAGTTAGTGTCTGTTATTTTTTATCTTGGCGTGTGTAACCTTGATTTGTAGAAAGTTTGTAAGATGTACTAACTGAGAAAAATAATTGGTTCCCTCTCTGATGTTCCCTCCCTCCGAGAAACCCTGTTAAAAGAGACCCCCCCAAACCCCAAATCCTTTGTCTCTCGTCCTTTGGATTCCCCTTCACAGAAATAAACTGTGGAATGCAAACCAGAGAGAGAGTCCCCCCCTGATTTCTTTACTCGCTCTATAGACTTAGATTCTTGAAGAAAATCAGTGAACCCCACAAACATATGCTGGCTCGAAACTCGAGTGAAGAGAAACCTCATCACTGAGCTAGCCGGGCCACACTCGAGAAGATTGAGTCAGGAAAACACTCCAAACAGCTATCAGCTCTGCAGCCTGAGCGCTGCTTTCTTCCTCAGTAACGATCCGTTCAGCAGAGGAAAGGTGGAGGGCTACTGCCCTGCACCTCTGCACCTCTCCCTCTCGTTTGGCAGAAGTATCAGTGAACCAAGAGTTTGCTGATTGTCTTCGCTCACTGTCCAGAACCTGTGAGTGGTGTTGCTTTGGCCCACTGCCCAGAATCAGTTGAGGGTGAGGTGGAGCGCTTGGTACAATGGGGCTGGAATCCTGCCACTGAGAGACCAATTTACTGAATTTTTCAAGCGGCAGGTTAACCATTAAACCCTTCGGTACCCCTTTCTTCACCCCCAAGTTCCACCAATACTGTAGGCTAGAAATTTGCCTACCCTTTTCTGTTTTTATATTAGGAGGGGTTTCTTTAATTACCAAGTCAGGTTTGTCATGGCTGCTACTTAAGCTCTCAGTTTTTTGTATCACCTGATTTTTTACAGCTCCTTCTGTTATTGAGAAGATGTTAGAGTAATGTTCAATCTGGGCATACCACTTTCTCACTGAGGCCCTCTGGGCCATCCCATCAGGGTGGAGAGTCCCAGTAGTGACTGTCTTAGTAATTTCAAAAGGGCCTTTTAATGCAATTGGTTGTTGTTGTGCAATTTTTTCTACTTCTATGAGAGCTGGATTAACTACAAACAATCCCTTTTCCCAGGTAGTGTACCTCTTTTCAGCATCTTTATTTTTTATTGCTTCTTTTTCATCTCCTTCCACAAGGATATCATCTATGGTTGTTTGGAGGTTTCAGTGATTCTGGAAGATCACAAATTAAAGGGGTCATAATTTCAGCTTTCACAGGTAACAACGTTGGTGATTCATAGCCAGCAATTAATTTTCTTTCATGAATCAGTTGCAAATAAGCTGCTTTATAAATATTTTCTAAAATTTGGTCTGGGGAGCCGGTTAGAGCTACAGGATCTCCCCTTTCCAGGGAGTTCAGTCCCCCTGCCCAATATGCAGCTCACTGGGTTAGGGACCATGGGTTGCGTTTATCTCCTGTTGTTAAGAAAACACCATGTCCCCAGTAACCACTTGCTTCTTGTTCAGATAATCAAATTTGATCTCCCCCTGTGAGAGACACTCGAAATACGTATTCTGTCTCTGACTCATGAGAGAGACGCCCATACTCCTTTTTCAACTTAGCCAATTCAGTAGCAGTGTATGGGATTTCTTTAGTGGTTATTTGTGGATCAAGATCTTCATCATTGATATAATTATATTCTGTTTTAATCAAAGGTCTTATTTGGGAGCAACAGTTTTCACCACAATTTTTTACCAAATGTAATTCTGCTTGAGAATATATGTGATTTATCTGAGGAGTTTCTTTTTCCAGCGGCTCCTTAAAGGAATCAGCAGACTGATTTTTGGCACACTCCTCACTCAGAGCAGTTCGTAAGAAATGAATTTCATTTTGCAAACTTTCAACTAAATTTTGTAAGGATTGTATAATTGCATTTTCTTCCTGCCTTCGTCTTGTGCAAGCCTCTACAGCTGACATAAGGCAAGCTCCCAATACAGAACAAATTATGGTTTTATTATGGCCAAATTTGAACTTTGCCTCATGTTGCAGGGAGCAAATTCTATCAGTTACATTTTCCAGGTTGAACCAATTATTTTGAGCCCATTCTTCCCCGGCTGGGGAGGGCTTAGCATTGTGCTTTGCTAACAAAGCAATGAATGCAGTTTTATCTTTTATACTAGAGTTTTCAGAGTGTTCACTCATCTTTGTGTGTGAAGGGTCCAGTACCACTACAGGGAGGTAAGACTTAAGTTATGCACAGACGCAGCCTTTGCCACGTCACCCTTCGCGTCCCTGTATGGATGAAGAGACCAAATCTGCTTGGGAGGCACCCCTTTATCTTAAAATTCAGGTTGTCTCTGCTACACCAAGCAGTCAGCATATAGAAAATCAGTGGGCGTGTGCAGTTTGCGAGAAATTTGAGTCGCCTCCCTTGCTTTCTAGACACTGCTCACCAGTGTGGCAGGCTAGGGGCGGCTGAAGAGAAACGTCCTTCCCCTGATACAGACTCCACAACGAACCTGCACCTGAACCTGTTTTGTCTCTGATGTGATGTCACAGAGAGGGGAATAATGGGGCTGTCAACGCTATAGTATCACAATGCAACCCCTTCTGTCTTTCAGAATCCTGTCCGTGACAGCAATTTATGTCATGATCCGCAAGGTGGGATTCGTGATGTGGTACCATGGGGTTGCATGGGGTTGTTCCATCTGTGGTGTCACAGAAAGGGTGAAATTTGGTCTGTCATTGCTGAGATGTCAAAAAGGGGGAAAACTGGGGCTGTCACAGCTGTGGAGTCTCCGAGAAAATAACACAGGTGCTCTGACATGTCTGTTGCCACAAAGGGGATTAAATTTGGCTTGTCATGGCTGTGGTATCACAGAGAGGTTTAAATTGGTTTTGTCTCTGATGTGATGTCACAGAGAGGGGAATAATGGGGCTGTCAACGCTATAGTATCACAGAGAGGCATAAATTGATCCTGTCACTTCTGTGGTCTCACAGAGAGTGGAATATTGGGTATGTCATTACTGTGGTGTCAATTAGAAGCATAAATCAAGTTGTCACGGCTCTGGAGTCACAGTGAGGCGTAAATTGACGCTGTCACTGATGTGATGCCAGAGAGGGGATGAAATTGAGGCTGTCATTGCTGGGATGTCACAGAGTTTCTAATACTGGGCCAGTCACTGCTGTGGTGTCACAGAAAGGGTGTAATTTGGTCTGTCACTGCTGTGATGTCAAAAAGGGGGGAAACTGGGTCTGTCACTGCTCTTGTGTCACAGGCAGGCATAAAATGGGGTTCCCACTGCTGTGAGGGCACAGAGAGGGGAAAACTGGGGCTGTCACTGCTGTGGTTTCACAGAGAGTGGAATATTGGGGCTCTCACTGCTGGGATGCCACAGAGTGGAAAACTAAGGCTGTCACAGCTGTGGAGTCTCTGAGAAAGTAACACAGCTGCTCTGACATGTATGTTGCCACAAAGGGGAGGAAATTGGGCTTGTCATGGCTGTGGTATCACAGAGAGGTTTAAATTGGTTCTGTCTCAGATGTGATGTCACACATCTGAGGGGAATAAGGGGTCTGTCAGCGCTGTGGTGTCACAGAGAGGCGTAAATTTGGCTTATCACTGCTGTGGTTTCACAGAGAGTGGAATATTGGGTATGTCACTACTGTGGTGTCACATAGAAGCGTAAATTAAGATGTCACAGCTGTGGAGTCACAGAGAAGCGTAAAATGCCTCTGTTACTGATGTGATGTCACAGAGGGGATGAAATTGAGGCTGTCAGTGCTGGGATGTCACAGAGTTTGTAAAACTGGGCCATTCACTGCTGTAGTGTTACAGATAGGTGTAAATTGGGGTTGTTCCATCTGTGGTGTCAGAGAAAGGATGAAATTTGGTCTGTCACTGCTGTGATGTCACAGAGAGGGGAAAACTGAGGCTGTCACAGCTGTGGAGTCTCCGAGAAAGTAACACAGCTGCTCTGACATGTCTGTTGCCACAAAGGGGATGAAATTTAAGTTGTCATGGCTGTGGTATCACAGAGAGGTTTAAAGTGGTTCTGTCTCTGATGTGATGTCATCGGAGCTGCTGATACACCTCAGCCACCAGCCCAGGATCTCAGCTCATCCCTGCTGTTCCAGCCGACAGTTCCTCAGAGCCCCGCAGGAGCACCACGACTGACTGCCCGAGGGGGTTTGTGAAGCAAAGCCTCTCCTCCATCCCTTCCCGTCTCAGCCGAGAAGGCTGTCACGGGGCCCCTGGTTCTGTTTTCTTACTAATGCTGTCATTATTGTTTGTTTGCCTGGTTATACCAGTAAAGGACTGTTTTTCTTATCCCCAGATCTCTGCCTGAAAACCCCTTGGTTTCAGAATTATAATAATTCAGATGGAGGGGGTCTACATTCTTTCATTCCAAGGGAGGCTCCTGCCCTCCCTAGCAGACACCTGTCTTCTAAAACCGAGACAACAACATAAAAACCACAGACTGTACACAGTGTACCATTTGAAGCTAGTTCAAACTATGTTTGTTTTAGCATTTTGTCTATATTCATACAGAAGGATACCAGCATTTAATAAATACTCTCCAAAACACTGCATAAACTCAAATGTTTATTCCTGTCACCATTACAGAGCTCACAAGTTTTCATCTAACAGCAAGAAATATCCAAGTCACTCTGTTACAGGCCAAGTCCATTTGGAATTTGGGGTTTCAGAGGTTAAGCAAATTCCCAGGACACCCTAAATAGAAAGCTCAGAAATGGCATCTGATAACAAAGACAGTAACTTCCACTTTACTTAGCACATAGGCTTTCTAAAACTTTAGGAAACATATAACCTAGAAACATTTACTCACTTTAAATGCTCTGAAGCAAAACAAACACTTAATAAATTATTTTAGAAAATAAAGCAACAACTAAGGATTTATCAGTTTTGAAGTTACAAAGATCAGATGCCAAAGTGATGATATAGGAGAACTTTTCAGCAAGTAAAGCTGACACCAGTTTGTAACTCAGAAACATATTACCACCCATCCACTCTGCTTATATTCAATATTCAATAAATAATATATTCAATAAAGGATACTTAAAACACTGCCATGCAGCTCTTTGTATTGTTTCAGAGGGAAGGTGAGCCAAAGTATTCAAAAATACTGCTTCAAATACTCCTCAGTAAAGGAGATTATTATTATCTCCACTATATTTTATCCCCTTCCTCTCTCTGAAAGCATTTTACAACAGCAAACTGAAGAAATAGTGAGGAATAGATCCCTAAAAACTAAGTCAATTTATTTGTATCAACAGAATTACACTATCAGTCAGAAGTTTCAGAAGGAAATCATCTACGTGAGTAGTGCAATAATAAGGTCCATAAACTGTTTATGGAATTATAAGCGTGTTAAGAATGTGAAACAGTCCTTCCTGTACAACTCTCCCAAGTTATTTCATAGCTAACACTTGTTAGAGTACACCTTTTCTTTTAGAGGTTTTTCTTATACGAGATACATCTTATCTTGAATTCCCATAGATTTATCTTCTATAGCTACATGGAGTTTAGTGTTTAACGCCCTTCTATTCCTAATGCAAACAGTATTGCTAAGATTACTGCGTTTCTCTCCTCTCTCTCTTTTATTCCCTCTGCCTTTATTTTGAAGACTGTGAGAAGTGTCATTTCTCTCTACCTATTGGAAGGCATCAAATCACATCTCATGTGTCATTAAAATCTATATTTATAGGCTACATCAAGATTTCTTAAACAAAACAATAGCCTTGCTGTGGTAACAATTATAACAAATACCTGCAAAGGATGATGAAGAATTTCACAAGTAAAAGTGACAGAGTCTGCTGCTGCTCTTCCAGGCCATATGACATCTTCTGGACACACTGTAGCAACTGGAGCCTGAGGACCCGAAGAATGTTATCAGGAAGCAGCGATATTCCTGGCGGAATGTCATCCACCCTAATGAAAAAAACCAGACACAAAATTGTTAATCATACAAATGCCAAGCTGCCAATCGATTTCCATGTACTCATGTAGTGTTCCAGTGAAGTTCTGTGGGAAAGGTCACCCAACTGACACATCACAAACACTTTCTAATGAACCACAAGGAAATGTCTGGTGACAATAAGCCACTTTGAGCTTTCTTTTCCCCAACAATGAACTACATTAAAAAAAAAAAAAAAAAATAAAAAAATAAAGGTGTTAAAATGCATTAAGTGGCTTCCTAAATCGTCCTCCTTGCAATGACCCGCCTTAGTTGCCACAAAGAAACTGCATGATCTTCATCAGGTAAACAAATGGCCTGGGAAATCTCCAGGAACAGCCACAGTGGAAAGAGAACAAAACGCATTTGGAAGAACATTTTCAACTTTCTACTGAAGATTAAAAGTGTCCAAATAAATGAGATGCCAACTATTACATAGTTATTGAAGCCCAATTGGTATTCATCCACAGTGAACCTCGTATTGTTCTTATATAAATTTCAAAAAGTCATACAAAATTATCTTGCCTATTGTTTTCTGCAAACTAAAACATTTTTAGAAACACACCAGGGAGAAGCAAGACATGAAGAAAAGAATGGGTTTATTTGTGGTTTCATTTTTTTTCCCAGTGACCCAAAACCAAATAAGAAAATGACCCAGGAACAACCATAAGGAAACCCCTTTCAGTAACAGTATAGAAATCTACAGATCTGTAAGAACATTTTTCAGGAAGAAAACTCTTCATCCAGTGTTGCACATGTTAAAAACAGTTAGCCTTTAGCAGCAGCTATTTACCCAGACAAATCTTCTATTAACTGTATGCAGAAAAGGAAGACAAGCAGGAGCCTCACAGCTTACAAAAGCCTTCAACACAGCCAAAGCCAGAGGAAAGTTACAACAAAAAAACTCAGCAAGCTCAAAACCTCACTGATACGACTGCTGTGTATGTTGCATCTATGCGAGAAAAACCACAAAAAAGATGTGTAGAAATGCAGTGAGTAACCCTATACAATGTGATGGCTATTGTTTGAGGAAAATGGGGAACAATCCATTGTTTAGCCTCTAATGTTGAAAAGGAAGCTTTTATAGGAGGGAAAATCAGATTACTAAAACACCTAGACTGGTGTAAGTGACAGAAAGCTCCCATATTCTAGAAAACATATGTTACCTATACTTATACATACAACCACCTAAGATTCATTCCCTAGCCTCTTCACACAGTTGTGCAATTTGCTTTTCACATTGTGGAATTCGAATCTTGAGGGATTCAGAGAGTTGTAACACACATTTTACAGGCTAAGATCTAAACTGATAGCAACACTAAGTACAAAACTGGGAGCAGCTGTTTTTTTTCTAACACAAATGCCAAGAAGAAAATTTTAATTTCTGTGATAGCAACTTCACTTCTCAAGATGCTGGCAGATCCACACTCTCTGGAACTACAAGCATGGTTTCTCATAATCTAATAATTCAGATTCTGATAATTTCCTCTCAGTATTAGGAAAACTGTAATTTTTGACAGCTGAAGTAATATCTCCAGAAGTTAATTCCCTAAAATGACCAACAAGTCTTTTTCAGTAAGATCATGAAATGCTTTGCAAGAGAACAAACAGCATAATCTTCATGCCTCATGTAATGAATCCACTCAAGAGAGTGATACGATTCAATCAAAGAGAATTTTATTAATTGTAGCAAGCAAGCAATAAGCAAAAAATCAGCGCTGGGCGACAGTGGAGTCTCTGCTCCATCGGCTGCCGCGCTTCCGATTTCCGTGTTCTCCCTTTTAAGTGGTCCGACTTCCGGGTTACGTGTCCTTTCTCGGGTGTCTCTGCGCATGTGCCGCCAGTCGCTGGGGGTCGTTTTCTGCCTTCTGGTGGTCGCAGGATGAAGATCAGGAGTCTTCCTCTTTTGACCTTTCCTCTCTGTTTTCCTTTTAAGGCTTATCTGGGTGGCTTAGCTCTCTGAAATTAAAGAGAACTTGCAAGGCTGTTTTAATGATTATGCGAGCGTCAGCAGTAGCCTTCAACCTCATCCCTATTACACAAAGCATAGTTTTGCAAAGCATCGTATCTATATGTTTAGTCGAACAAAAGGGTCTCTAATTACCACACCTCACATCCCAAAGAATGTCTTCTTTGCAGAAGCTGCCTGTGTGTTGCACAAGCCATGAGAATTTGGGAGAGATGTTTGAGAACGGCATGAGAAATCCTAATTCACATTACACAAAATTAATACACTGGAGTATACAAATAAATATAAACATTTATAAGTAATCAAGCTTGTTTTCACCCCAGACCAAATTACTACTACACCACTGTTATAAATGCAATGGCAAAATAGGGTTAATATAAAAAGTGATTTATTATAAAACAATTTCAATCACAAACGACGAGAGAAAAAAACCACAATAAGTCAGCGCAGCGCTGGGTGGACAGAGAGACGTCTATACCCAGAGGTACAGATTTACCCAAATCCACAAAGGAGGGTAGACTGTCCGGGGTTTTTATAGGGATTTTGTGTCCTGAGGCCAAAACTCCGAGCAGTTACTGTTCAACAAAGAGTTTAGATGGCTGGTTGAATGAATTTCCTGGAACCGTGGAACTGATTCAATAGACGACTGGGCAGAGTCCGCTCGCATGTGAAAGGTTCTGAGTGCTTCTTGATTGTATCTTCGCTTGGACTCTCAGGGTGAAGTGTCCAGGTCCGGTGTGGAGCCGATGGGTATCTCGGCTGGGCTCTTCTTATTGTTTGGTCTGATTGTATCTTCAGTCGGGGTTTGCAGGGAGGGGTGCCCAGGTGCGGTGTGGAGTCGATGGGCATCTCGGCCTGGCTCCTTTCTTTGTTTAGCTTAATCATTCGTGTCCTGCTTTTTCTTTCAGGCTGATGAACGTCGCCTAGGGTCGTTACCACCTGAATGGGTAGTTACTGCTGGGTTTGGGGGAAATTCTTAGGCCACACTATATTTTATATAATTTTTACATTGTTACAAATACAGTATATACTTATTTATTCTTTCATGAATTTTTATCCACGGTTACATTTATCACGCCACCAAAAAAACCTTTGATTTAAAACAAAGATTTACATTTGTTGGCATGTAGTACCAATTTTTCCCAGGCAGACTTGCTGTTTAAAGTAAGAACTCCAAAAGGAAGGAAAAAAATGAATATGAAAAAAACATACCCTATCGTTATTTTACTGCTGGTATGCTATCTCAAAAATATGTCAAAGAACTTGACACATTTGGGTTCTTTTTATTGGTAATTTCCTTCATTACATTAACATGGCTATGCAGCCACACAAACTATGTCAGGTGTCTGAAAGAGAACTGAATCACCTCCACATTGTATGCACCTATTCCAGCTCAAACACACACTGGGAACTCTCCTCTAACAGTGGTAAACACTTGGGAAGAAACTGCTGTAGCAAACCAGGTTTTATTTTTCCACAAACATGTAATCAGCATTCCTATAATGATTTCTGCATCATTTTTATGTGGATTTGAAGTCAGAAAGTTAATAAAATATGGTTTCTGTGATTCTTTGCATGAGCTTCCTTTAAGCTCCTTTCCTCAAGATCACGCAAACCAAAAGCTGAAAAAAAGTATGACAACACTCTGGAGGCCTTTGTTATTTTTAAAAGTATTGAATCAAATGACAATTCTTCTGCAGCGAGGAGAAAAAAGTCCTCCAACCAGCTGGTAAAGCTTTTATCCTTTTTACGGTAAATATATATGACAAGGATACATGTTTTGAGGGAAATAACATACAGGTCTGGTGGTCTTTTGTGCTCAATGATCCAACCATTAGCATAGCTATATTCACCTTTTCAGCAAAGTCATTAGTAACATCATCAATGGGCCATTTCATACAGAGTAGAGGCACAAAGATGGAGTAGAACTGAAGCTGTGTAAGGCTATAAGCTGTGTAACTGTATAAGCTCTACTTACACTGTCAAATCACACTGGGTATACTCACATACTATATTTAGAGGTTTCCTAATTCTGTACTGCTTAGCATCTTCACATTTCCAAAGCAGACTTCAGGAAATTAGATATTCTAATTTATAGAAAAAAAATTTCTTACGAGTTAAATCATCAAGTGACAGTGCCAATTAAAAGTCCTTCTTTCAGGAAGGAAAAAACCCAAAGCCAAACCTGTAATAGAATCTTTACATTTCTTAACTGGTATTTTCTTGGATGATAAAAACCCCAACATATGTTTTTGACACAAAATTTCATGCCTCTCTTCCAAAAGGTTAGTGTGTCCAGCAATCTGTACAAGCCTTCTCCATAAACAGTTTCTCATTATTTCCTGGCATCAAGGTCTTTCAGGCATTTAGCTGTAAAGCATACCAAGATTTATAGAAGGAAAAAAAAAAGAAAAAAAAAATCAGTCGGTTTCTCATTTTAGCTAGCATCATACTTGAAGAGCAAAAGATAGAATTAGCTGTCTAATAAGGAATCCAGTTTAAAAAATAAATAAAGTGAGTCCACAGGGTCCTGTGGCCCCTGGAGTCACTGGAAATCAGCATTCGGTGGTTCCACACTGACCTACTTTTCTTTTTCATGCACCCAGTGTTGCTGTTTTCACAATGGAACGGCCTGTAATACAAATTGACAAAGCCCAAACAGATAATACTTTTCACTTTTCAATGCCTGATTATATCACAAATGCAAATATGGCCAGAAACTGCAATTCTTTATTAATTCTAGTATCTGATTGCCATAGGTTTGTTTGTTTGCTTGTTTGTTTGCTTGTTTGTTTGTTTTTAATGCAGACATAAAAGCATAGGAATGATCTGCCTTCATCCCTATGTTGTTTTGATGCTTTTTCTTTACATCTGTTACACAAATGAGTCTAAATCCACATGCTGATATTCTTCCAGACTAAATCACTAATCCTGTCATTAAGCTCAGAAAAACATTATTTTTACACTCACTAAAGGCACCATTTATCACAATGAAGATGCTGGTACTGCTCTGCATAACTAAGCTTTATGTTGTTGAAAAAAACCCCAACATGAAAAATCATGAACACATATACTAAAAAACACTTAAACTCAGAGTACATATAAATTAAAAAAACTTAAAATCAAAGTTCCAAGACATTCTTTTCTTCCAGCGTTTGTATTTCAATACCAAAGAGTATGCTAAAGATAACCTGTGTCAAAGGACAAACTTTTTTCCTTAACTAAACATCGTAAGATGCATTTTTGATACTACAAAGGAATAAATACTCAGAAAGAGCACAGAATTAACTTGAAGGTCTTGGTTATTGGTAATTGCACTATGTATTTTGCACTCATATAGGCATTATGAGAAAAATTTTAATAAAAAGAGATGGGAAGTCCAGGTTTTATCTGCTGAGGTCCAGTTGCAGCAGTCTTCATTTCCTTGTAACAGTCAAGGCTATCACTTGCACTTCAAACAGGATCTGATCCAAAACCCATTAAAGAATTTCCATTGATTTCAACAAGGCTTGGAATGCAGCCATCATGCAAGGAGCACCATTCTTTGCTTTCAAACAGCATTAGTTGTATCAGCTATAATACTGACACCAGTTCTCATGAAATCAGAATCCTTTACCATTTGTTTTTCCTTAAAATCCCTAGTTCATCCAAGCATCTCAAAAGCAAGAGAAAACATCCAACGCCTAAATTTTCACGCCTCATTTTCAAAGTTAGACATGAAAACACAATCATGATAACACAGCATACAAATTTAAAATACTGAATATGAAACTCTGAAGTCAGGCTCCAACAGACCCTCATGATTGTAAGTGGGAGCTTTTGGTCAGCAACATGAGAGATGTCAGCAATAACCCTACCCTGAAGTCTTTTTGGATGAAAGGAGATCACTCTCAAGTCTATACCTGGTGCATATTTTAATTTTGAAATGTTTTCAGCTAAGATATCCAAATCTTTTATTGAGTAAACTCTTTACCTATATCTTGCTTCTCTTCTGTCACTGCTGATGCAGATAGTAAACACTATTTCATATGGAACAATTAAGAAATACTTATTAAAAAAAATATGAGGAACACAAGGAATAACAATTATATTTCTATGAGCAAGAACAAGAAGCACTCATGCCAATTTCCTAATATAATGCAAATACCAGTATTTGTCTAGTTTCATCATTCCCAGCCCAACTTGACCTTAAAATGAATGGGAGTGCCACTTAACAACAAAAAAACTTTCTTTTGTTTAAAGGCAGCACTGCCATTGAACAAGACTGGGCTCCCAGCCAGGTGTGTTTCAGATATCAGGGGAAGATGAACAGGACTGTAATTCTACGTACCTTGCTGGCAGCTTCTCAAAGTCCACATCCAGAAACTGTTCATAGCTAGACACAAAACTATCCAACCAGAGCTTCAGGTAATCTGGATATTTCTGTAGAAAGGAAGAGAGCATTAGGCAATATTGCACTCAAGGTCATCTATCAACAACTCTGCAGTACTGCCTTAAATAAAAAGCTACTGTTTAATGCATTTCAACTGGGAGAAAGGGAGGAATACACATTTTTTAGAACCAAAAGAAAAAACAACCACCTGTGTACTTTGAAATTTTCAGCCACATTGTGCTGATGGGACATTTTTGCTCTATTCATTAATTTATGCATCTCCTCTTCTTGCACCAGTGTCAATCAAACCATTTTAGCTTTTCCCCTCACGAACAATCTTAACTTATTCTCCAGAGTCATCCATACCATCTTCACAAACTTACTAGAATGTGTTCTGGTCTTGATACCATAGGCACTAGTACACAACACTCCTTAAGGTTCATAAAACTAAGTAAGAACCCTAACAGCAATCCTAATCACAAAATAACTTTTGCTTTGATCATGGGTCAATATGGCAAACAACAGCAGATTAGAGACAGATGGTGTTCAGAAAGACAATGCAGAAACTGTGACCTGCATACTAGATAGCTATAAAACCGATAGAAAATTATATTGAAGCTTCCTAGCTGTTCCTAGTAGAGCACAAAGACTGTGTTTGTGACCAGCAGTCACTCAGGGCTGGACACTGTCCCAGGAAATAGGACAGATATTAGACCACTGCAAACCACACAGGGAAGTTCTACCAAAATATGCATTTGAGGTAGTCTTACTTTAGAAGTCAAGCTGCTTAATTTTCAAAAACAAGTCGCCAGCCCATAGCTAACATATTTCTCTGCCAGGACTGTTCAGTCCTGTCCATTAATGCACACAGTCCCACACTCTATGCTACAAATATTTTTCAAAACATTTCAAAACATTTTTGCCTGAAGTATTTGAGATTACAAATGATTTCTGAATCCACTCCATAATTTAAAAGATTTTGCAGAAGTTGAAAACATTTTTCATCATCCTTTTCCCTCTTCTCTACCTCCTCCCTTTTGTTTCTTGCCTTTATATTACCACAGATGTTCCCAAATAAGATAATGTTTTCCTGCAAAATTAAGGTCAAAGAGCAAACAGTGCTGCTATATTTTATATATTAATAAAGGCCTGTCTGCACAAACCAGTCTTTGAAATGTCATGATATTAAAGGCTAAAGTCCTTGAAACCTTCCTGCAGAAGAGAGAGTAAAGCAAAACAATATCCTTGTGTAAAAGTGAAAAAATGTAAACCTGTGTGTGTTAGCCCATAGTAACTTGCTTAGCCTGCAGACCCTGCAGAACCCTATAAAAGGTGTGCTAAATATAGAAATAAACAGCATTCACGTTTACTTCTGTGAAAGGTTGTGAATAGCTGGCGGTCTCTCAATAAGTGAGTATCTCTAACACACATACTCTTCTGCAGCAATATCAGTGTAAAAGAAAGAGTCACCAAGAAAGACTGACAGAGTCCTTGTCAATGCAAAACAGCAATTTACAAAAGAGCCCTCCACAGGGGAAAATCACCAAACAAAACAAAGTTAAACAAACACCACACAAACAAAACAATCTCAGAATACAATAAACACATAAATCCAGAACCTCAAGTGGTGCAAAGCTCTTCTCAGACCATCTTTCCACAGCAAGTACAGGAGCTATAAAGCATGGGAACCCCCTTTAGTAATTTTAGTAATTACAATACAGCTCAGGCTACAAAGGACAAAACAACCACAGGGAAGTAATGAACAGAAATGTTGCCATATCCATGTGTCCGTGCCTCTGACGACAATGGCCACATACATGTGCAAAAACTGAACTTATGTGACTTCTTCCCTGTTGAACAAACTGCTTCTTCCTTGGCATGAGAAACTTCTCCTTGAAATCCAACAAGAAATACTAGATTGATTCCATTCATACTCTAAAATTATAATTGTTTGTTGACACAGCTCAGGCTTATTTCTAATTGCTAACAGCAAACTTGTGTAAAAAACCTGTTTTTCTTGGTCACCATGAAAGAAGATGTGCAAATACAACATAATCTGACTTTAAATTGCTTTAACAGATGTCAAGGATGACAAAAGGGGAAGGGTAGGACAAAAGACAGAATTATACTAAATGCCTGCTTGTTCCTTTTTAATGCTATAGCCTAAATCAGTTTCAAGCTTCTTTAACTTTGAACTACAATGCCTTTGCCAAGCTATCCAGACTAGGGATAAGAGAACACTGGCAGACAAAATATGCAAGAAATAGCACTTACACAGATGGCAAGAGTAAACCACATGTCATGAAACAGCCAAATGTTTTTGCCTACCTGTAGAGCACATACTGCTCAATCTACTTTGCCACTAGAACTCCTCCCAGTGCTGGTAAAAACCAAGAACTGCAGTACTGTTTGGTCATTCCCTGCAGCACACTATTCAACCCAGCTCCCTTCTATCTCAGTCCCCTGCCATTCAACTAATAATGTAATATTCCAAGTTATTCAAATAATCAGATTTGATATCAAAATATCAGGTAGCACTACTGGTATGTGTCAGCAGAAAATGGTTTATGCAAGAATTGACTCAGAGTCAAATCTAGAGATTTCCATCCAAGCAACAGCACTAACTCAAAACCACTTGGAAAAAAAAAATAAAAATAATGAAGGCAAAAAAGCAAACAAGATCACTTGGCAACATGAGAAACACCAAGAAATACATCTCCATTATACATGAGCTAACAGAGGCATGCCTCCTTTCCAGAAATGAACAAAAATGAAACCTTGTGAGGTAGAAGTGCATTCCAGGAAAAAGTGACAAAATATTTAGCAGATGGGCTACAATTACAATATGTAAGGGATTTTAAAAATGTTAGAAACAGAAGTTATAAACAGCTTTCAAGCTTCAGATCTGGCCCGGGTTTTCTTTGCCTTTATTAGCAGCAATCATTGCAGATCCTAGGCATCAGTGTCCTGTTGAAAGCTGCAAGAAATTTACATTTTACTGAGGCAGTTTTAAGAAAGGAAACTGAAAATGGTAAATGTTACACTTGACAAAGTACATATAAATGTCCTAAAACACAGCTGTCATGGGGTGACTTTACCTTTTAGATAGCTTTGAGAGCTAAGGAAGTTGAAGCTGCTAGTGGCTGATGGGAGTCTTTTCTCCTGACCAATTATCGGTCATTTGTAAGAATTGACAGCAGTTTTAACCATTGAAAAGTGAGATTAACTTGTGAACACCGCCTTAAGATGTAAACCCAGAGCTCTCTTGTTCTCTTTGTGTTTCCGGCTTCTGAGAAGGTAACAAGGCTCTGTCTTGGCCTCCTCCCCCACTCCAGGCCGGACAAGGCCGCAGAGGGCGGGGGGGCGGGGCGGGGATGGGCGGGGAAGAGAAACGGAGCCGGCCAGCTTGGCTTAGTTTGTAGTTTCTGCTGCTGGACTGAAACCTGACACCATGAACATCTGCAGCTTTTCCAAGACTTTAATTCTTTTACTACCTGGATAAAACGTACAGATTACTTTTTTTTCCCCAGAGAGACAGAGAGAGAGAGACAATCAACATTAAGAAGACAGTGAAGAAAAGAGTTAAGTTTTTGAAAGGGAAGAGAGAATAAGAAGATGTTTATAAGCGGAAATATTTTTCTGTTAAAGCTATGGAGATGGACAATAGTGTTCTGAAAAAAACTCCTTTAATTCATGACAGAGTATATTGGGAGGAATGGAGTGCTCAAAGGGTGGATTTTGAGCAAAAAGTAGAGTAATTGTGATACAGTGAGGTGCTGGAACAGAGTGAAGTGAAGATTTGAGGCCTTGAGGGCAATGAGAAAACTGTTTTCCAGTGAAGCTCACAGAGACAGATGAAGAGGACTTTTGCCTTTGAATAACTCATCCTTAAAAAATGACATCCCTAGACTCATGGCCCATAACACACCTCAGAGTGATGTGAAATGGGAGGAGTGAACTGATGACAAGATTTCCGGGCAGCTGGCATCAGAGAAATAGAAAACTATAACAGAAATAGTTTTCTTGTGAGAAACTCCATAAACTAGCAGAAGAACACTTCTGTTTCTCTACAAAGACTGATGAAAAGACTCTAGCAGGAATTGGGACTGTTTCAAACACCAAAGTTCCAAAGATTTTTGTCTCTATGTTGTCACGTGTACAAGAGAATGGTTGGGTAGTGGGCGATAAAAGGGTTTTCTGGAGGTTTATTCTGGTGTTCTTATTCCTGTAGTTTTGTTAATAAACTTTCTTTATTCCTTTTAAGTTTTAAGCCTGTTTTGCTCTTGTTCTAATCCATATCTCACAGCAAGAAATAAGTAAGTTTTCTAGTAATTTTTTTAGTTACTGCTTTAAAACCACAACAACAGCTCAATACATACAGCCTTTCTGAAGACCTGCTTATGTGAGTCAGATACATCTTACATTCTTCCAAACCAAAGGCATTATGGTTTAGGAGAAACAGAGGCTTCTTACAGTGGTTTAAAATTCCAAATTCATAGTAAAACCAGGCAGTAATAACAGTTATCAGCTGTTTTGTTTACACTGTGATTTTATGTACAATGCAATTATCTTACCTAGCATCTTTATCTTGAACTGAACTTTTTCTTGAGGTCAGTTGCTCCCACTTAATCTGGAGTTTAAATTGGTTGAATCAAAAATGAAAAAGAATGTATTTCTGTTAAGTTCTCCCCCTACTTACCTTTTCAACTATCCTCTATTTTTCCCACAACAGAAGTGGTAAACCATATTAACAGCAGAACACGAATGAACCTTACTTTAACATTAATTCATTTGTGTTCTCCAGTGCCAGATCAACTTTCCAAACTAGAACATGTTGCAATACGACCAATATCTGTGTTATTAGGAGTCAGAAGAGAGCATCCCGTGGGATCCATGCTGCTACTGAGGGCAACAAATCACTGAACTGCAACCTCAGCTCCACCTGGTTCATTATAAATTGTGAGCTACTACATTACATCTGTGCTCCTCCTAAGGAAGCAGCAGAACACCAGAATAAAGCATCATAAATACTCAGAAGCCTTGCTACCAG